GTCAGTGTGTGGGTGTGACTGTGTGGGGCTGGAGTTGTATATACCCATGGGGGACCATGTATTTGACTGTCTTCTCTATGTTCCTGGCAAGGGACATGTGTGTATGTGCATGTGTATGTGTGTGTATTTGAAGAGGGCAGGGTTGGAGAGCAGTGAAGGGTCTGAGAAAGGTTTCTGTTTTAGCCCAAAGTTGCTACATCCTGGTTCTGACACCCACTCCAGCCTCCCCTAGCGTCCTTGCAAGGCTGACCCACCTGAATGAAGATCCCTAATCACTCCCTCTTCCTTTTCCCAGCCCCCTCCCTACCTTCGTGGCCTTGAGCTGTGTTACTGTGGGAAGATGAGGGGGAGGCTAGATGTTGAGCCCAAGAGGAGGTAGGGAGAATAAGAAGGCAGGAAGCAGAGGGCAGGAGCTATAACACATGGGGGTGGCCTGACCTCCTGTATACAGGGAGGAGGGCCTAGGGAGCAAGAAAGGAATTCGGGTACCTGAGAAAGTGTTCCTGGAGACAGTGAGATGTGTACATGAGGGAGCATAGCCACACTTCCATGGCCTGGCTGCTCACCCTAGGCAGGGAGGAGGGGGGGGGGAAAGGAGGAAGCACAGGAGACTAATAAGACAAGACAATGAGCTGGCCAACCCGGAGATGCTAGAGGCTCTGTCTGCCTCCTACTCATCTCTGGAGCCGATGGATGCTAGCATACTAGGCCTGAATATTGGGGTACGGACAGTAGAAAAAGGACAGAGCCTGGGAGCCAGAACTCTGAAATCTAGGAAATCACCCCCCCCAAAAACAACAACAAAAACAGCAAAACAGATCACTGTGTGGGTGGGAGTTTGAGGTGTGAGGGAGGAAAAGAACCCAGCCTTGAGCCTACTTGCTTCTTTGAAACTGCCTCTAGGGTCCTGAGCTTCCTATCCAAGCCTCCTTCCTCTTCCAACTCCCTGCCTCTACCCAAACACTGCCAGAAACCACTATGTCCCTGTGACCCTGTGACCCTGCTATAGTCTCCAGTTTGGGGACTACATAAGGCCTCAAATGTGAGAAAAAGGGTGAGACTGATTCCTACCCCACAGCTAGGCAGCTAGGCCCATGGGCACTGACAAGGACAGGACCTCTCATCTTTCCCTCTCCAAGGTCTCCATGCCCTATAGTTCCTGCCCTCTGCTGCCTGCCTTTTCCCTCCCTCCTCCTCCTGCCTGGTCCTGAGCTCTGGGAAGTTGAGGGGGAGGCTGGATGTTGGGGCCAAGAAGAATTGAAAAGGTGGGCAGGAGACTTGGGCTGCTGAGTAACTGGGGGATCTTTATCCACCACGTGGGTCAGTCATATAATGGTGCCAAGTAGGGGGGGCTCTGCAGCAAACAGAAGGAAGGGGAAAGTGGTAGAAAGAGAAGGCTGAAGTCTCCCCAGCTAGTCTGACGCAGCAGGAGAAGAGAAGAGAGAGTGGGGGGGGGGTGGAGCTGAAGGGATGGAAAGGAAGAGACACTGCAGGAAGGTGCTCAGAGCAAAGGCTGGCTTTCCAACTGGGTGCTGAGGAGGTAGAAATCGTGGGTGACTCTGCATGAGTATGAATGTACCTTTGGTTGTGTGTGATTGTCTCTGTGGGTGTATGTGAATGGTGGCATGAATGTGACGGTGTATGTGAAAGTATGACTAGGACTAACTTTATGTGGCAGTGTGTGTGACAATGTGCCTGTATGTGTACGTGACTGGCTTCTTTTGTTCGACTGTGTTTGTGATTGTGATGTAGGTGAACATGGACATCTCTCATGGTCCCTTTCTTAACCATCTTCCCACCCCACCCCACCCTACCCCCTTGGCACCTGGGATGAGTGCATAGCCCTGCCCTACCCAGGACTAGAGGAGATTGGAACTAGGAACCAGGACTCCAGGGTCCCCAGGAGGTGGGAAAGGTGGGCACTAGCCATGCCACTCCCTGCCAGGGGCTCTACCTGCTTCTGCTCCAGGTTTCCTGGCCCAGGAATTTGGCCTGGGAGGGAAGGAGCCTTAGATGAGTTCCTGAGGTGCCCTGTGCCCCCAGGTACCTCCCGTTGTGCCTGAGGAGGAGAACGGGCTCAATGCCCGGGTGGACGAAGGTGTCGACGAGTTCTTCTCCAAGAGACTGATACACCAAGAGAGACTGTAAGTGACCCAGGAAGGGGAGCAATCAGGGATGAGAATGACCAAAGATGAGAGAGAAGGGGGATCAGAAATGACTGGCTAGAAGGGACCATGACTATGAGCAGCCAGGCATGCATTTCCAGAGCTGGAAATGCTTGGGGCTGGAAGTACCTAGAGGTACCTTCAGCCAGGATGGGGAGCGATTACAGCTGAAAATGACCTTGGTTAGTCACCACCACATCTTGGATTGAACAACCTACTCTAGTCAAATTGAACAAGTCTGACCATGTCATTCCATTACCCTACTCAGTCCGCTTCAGGGGCTGCCTGTCATCTCCGGGATCAAATCTACAATCTTCTGTTCAGTTTGTAAAGCCTTTCATAATCTGGCTCCTTCCAACCTTTGCAGTCTCCTTCCTCATCCCCATTCTTTGATCCAGTGACACTGGTCTCCTTGTTTCTTATCTTTCTTTGAATCTCCATCATTTTGCATAGTGCCTCAAGTGGTAGGTGATTAATAAATGCGTATGGACTGATAGGAATGAGTGCTTGAGGCCAAGAGTAATGGGGGTTTGGAAGTGGCCATTTGTGGGAGTAGTCAGGAATGTCAGTCAGTCAATAAACACATTAAGCACCTACTATGTGCCTGGCATTGAGGTTGGAATTAGCTGGCCTGGAAGTAACTACAGCTGGAAGTTTCTAGAGCTAGAAAGGACCATGATTGAGAGGAAATAGCTAAGAGCAATTAGCATTGGAAGGGACATGCCTGGGAATTACCAGAACCAGGAGCAACCAAGTGAGGAATGTCTAGGCAGGCATGGGAATGACCAAGCCAAGAGTAGCTGGAGCTCCATCTGACCAGGTCCAGAGTTACCAAGCCTGGGAGTGATGAGGCAAGTGGCCAGTCTAGAAGTAGTCAGGTGTGGGAGTGATCAAGGTTGGAAGGGACCCACATGGGCCAGTCAGATCAGAGGGACACTGGGAGCTCTCTCCTATGACCCCACTCCTTTCTACTTGACTCTGTCCCCATAGGTGGTCCCCTCGGGATGCAGTCCCTGAACCTGGGACCCCTGTCAGCTCCCGAACACTCCGGAAAAAGCTGGGCACCCTTTTTGCCTTCAAAAAGCCACGGTCAACTCGGGGGTCTAGGGCTGAGCCTGACACCAGTCCTGGAGCTCCTCCTCGAACCCGAAAAGCTGCATTCAGTGACCTTCTGCGCCCACCCAGCCGGCCTGGACGAGCAGAGGAATCTGGAGTTGAAGGGAGTTTGGAGGGAGTACCCAGCTGCTCCCCAGATCCCACCCGTAGGAGCCGGCCTCGTTATGCTAGAGAAGGCAAAGCTCATTCTATGATCCTGCTTTCCGCAGATGAAGAGGAGGCCCTCGGTGGGCGGCCGGAGAAGGTGAAGGCCCCCTCCCTGTCTCCCATTTCTCCACCCACAAGGCTGGATACACGGTTCCCATCTTCACCTTCCTGGTGAAGCGTCCTCTTTCCCCCAAGTGGGGTGGGAGCCTTGCACTTGAGCTGGGGAAGGGAGCGGCCCCCCTTCTAGAGCCTCCCTGACTCCTCCCAACCCCCACAGCGTCGCCCATTGGAGCGAGGAGACACAGAGATGCCTCCATCCTTCGAGCAGCGAGTACATGTCATGCTGCAGCGAATTGGTGTGGGCAGGGGTGGAGGAGGTGACAGCAAGAGAAAGCAGGTGAGATGAAAAGCCTGTGATAACATGGGAGCTTCCCTGGGCTGGGCAAGGCAGCACTGACCAGGGTGGGAAGTGGGAAATACCATGACGCCTTATCAGAGGAAGGGGCCTCTGGGGGCCTCATCACCCTGGGGAGTGCTGTGTTGAGGGTAAGAGTGGCTCTTTGAGTGACTGGGAGGAAGGCTAGAAGAGGGGAACTCTTTGACTTACTATCCCCATTCTCCCCCAGAGCAAAGATGGGGAGATAAAGAAGGCCGGCTCAGATGGTGAGTGGGGTCTCTGCTTGGAACAGGAAGGCATGGGGGCACCTCTTTTGCGGGTCAAAACCCCTCTTCCCCATTTGGCCAGCAGTCTTCCCTCCTTACCCCTACCCCCAGAGCAGGGTGGCAGAAACGGGCTAATGAAAGGAGGGGTGGCGCCCTGGGACATAGGCTAGGAGACACGATGACCACAAAGCTTCAGCTGCCCAACCCTCATTTTCCAGGAGACATCATGGACAGCTCCACTGAGTCACCACCCCTCTCCCTCAAGTCCAGAACACACTCAGTGTCTGCAGGTAGGTGGTGAGGGGTGAACCTCTCTAGAGCATGTGTAGGTATCTTTCCACTTCCCTCTCCAAACCACCTTCCCACCCTATGGCACCTCTGATGAAAACACAGCCCTGCCCTACCCAGGACCAGAGGTCAGGGGATGTGACAGGTCTGTCTGGAAAGTTTGGTGTTCAGGTGGGAAGGCGTGATTGGCTGAGAGTTTAGAAGGTTACTCCTGACCTCTGCCCCCCATATACTCTCTCTGCACAGACTCATCATGCCGTCCAGGACCAGGAGGCCGAGGGCCAGAGCCTGTGGCCTGGAAGGCCCTGGGCCGGCAGCTGAATGCAGAGCTCAGAGGGAAGGGCTGGGACCGACCAGGACCCCGGACACCCTCCCCTAACCTGCTTCAACCCGAGCCCAGCTTCCCAAGCCCCTGTCCCAGTCCCATCCCATCCCCTCGGCTGTCCCCCCAAAGAGCCAGCAATGCTGGGAATTGCCAGCTCACCCAGGACGCTACCCTGGGGACCACGAATGAAGGTACGGCTGGGGGACGCCCCTAGCTCAAAACCTCTTCACAACAGCCAGCCAGGCTAGGGGACCCAGAGGGTCTCTGCCCACCTCCAGGTCACAGTCCAGCGAGAAGCCAGTTGTTGGACATTTAATAGTCTGCTTAGAGAATGATACACGCTAGGATACGTTCACACTGCTCTACAACAGGACAGAGCAAATACAGAGATCACTGAGATGAAGTGAATCTGGGAGGCCTCAGAGAGGAAGTGAACCTTAAACTCAGGCATCTTTCAGTCTCAGTTCTAGCTGTAAGATAAGGAAAAATAAACAGGGCCTCTCCTGGAGAGATGGGGGGTAGGAAAGCATTTTCAAGGCTTACGGAGCTCAAGAGATGAGAGCTGTCATGAACAGATGAGTAGGAATTGGACAGATGGAGATTCCAGGTAGGAGTGATATGCGCCAGGCCAGCTAGCAATACAGCACGCAGCTGGAGATGATGGCAGGGTCAGCTGGATGGCCAGGAGGACTCAGAGAGGCTCCACTGTGGAAAGCTTCACACACCAGGCTCTCCAGGGGTAGAAATGATGCTGTGGGAGATGGAAAGCCACTGAAAATTATGAGAAAGGGACTTACTCATAAGGGCGATCAGTTAAAATAAGCAACTTCTCCGGCAATCTGCCTGATTTGGAGAGGGAGACTACCTATTGCACTCTAGTCTAGACGACAGCCTCAGGTAGCATGGCGATCACGGCAATGGGGAGAGGCCAGTTTCAAGAAGCTAGTGTAGAGAAACAGCCTGGTGTGTCACAGAAAGAGCCATGTAATGACGATAATGACAGCATTTAGGTAGCATCTGAAGGTCTTCGAAGCCCTTTGTGTATCTCATTTGCTCCTCACCACAACCTCCAGACAATCACCTGAAACCCCGAGCTGTCTCGGCCACCCGAAGAGCTGTATCTGTGCACGAGGAACAGCTCCAGGCCCCGGCAGGTGAGCGCAGGTTCCCGAGCACAAGAAGCACAGAGGAGGAGACAGGGGAAGAGACAGAAATGAAGGGACAAGCAAGGTGCTAAGGACAGAGAAGGGACGGGCTGGGATCACCCCCCAACTCCAGGAGTTACCCAGAACCTCTCTTCTTCATCCCAACAGCTACGTCTCCCATCAGAGACCTGCCCCTGCGGCTACATCGCTCTCCTGTCCTCAAACGTCGTCCCCGGGTTGAAGACCCCTCATCATCACCCAGTCTGGGTAAAGAGGCAGGGACTGGGGGTGGGAGGGAAGGATGAAGTGGAGAAACTGAGGCCAAAGGGCTCGAGATGGGGAGATCAGCAGAGCTGGGGCTAGGCCTCAAGCATGCTGTGTGCCTCCACCTACAGGGTCAGCCACGAGCACAGAGCCCCAGCTGCTGCTGCCACCAGACGAGCTGCCCCCAGAGGTGCCTGCCGGCCTGGAGTCCATCCCCTTGACTACCCCTTCCCCAGCCACAGACCAAAGAGCGGGCAGCCAAGCCCCTGCCACCCCCAGCCCCTGACCTAATCCTCCACCCTCACACCTTCGGCCGCATGAGATTATTTTATTAAAAAACTCAAACCTCACCCTAGCTATGGCCTCACTGAGGTGAGGGCGGGGGGAACTGATCACCTTCCCGTCCCACCCTGCCCAAGGTACTTCCTCTGCGCCAGAAGGAGGAGACAAGGACTGCAGTTCTGCTTTTTATTAACCCGCCCCCAAGGCAAGGGTGAGAGTGGCAGACGAGCATCTGCAGCAACTCCGAGCTCTCACACCTCCACCAGGTCGCTCTCCATTAGCACTTGTCTGGCCCAGTCCAGGAGCGATGGGCAGAGTCTGTGAGAGAGGGACAGAAGCTAGGCTTAGGGGTGACGGGCTCGAACAGGAGCCCCTCCAGTGGCAGACAAACAGGGAAGGCCGGTAGACACTGACCTGGTAGCTGCAACCTGGGAGCAGAGGCGGACGCAGGGCTCTGGGTAGTTGTACTGGAAAGGGGAGTCATCCAGGTGTCTCTCTGGAGGGGCCTATGGGAAAAAGGAAGAAGGCGGGGGAATTAAAGTCGACCAGTCCAAAGCCTGTTCCCTCCTATCCCCTCTAGTACAAAGGATCTTCCTTCTCTCTCTCCTCCCCCCCTCCCCCTCCATGCCCCCCCTCTCACCCTGGCTGAGGCCGGGCCTTCTCCTGGGCTGGAGTCGCCTGAAGGAGTGCTCTCTGGAACCCAGAGGGGACCCTTGACCCTCTTGCTCACAAACTCCAGGCTGGCCTTCCTGTTTCCCGGTCTGTCCTTGCTTCCCCTGGCCCTAGCCCTAGCCCTCAACAGGGCTCCAAGGGGCTGCTGGTGGCCCCCTGTACTAGGGGTTTCCCACTTGTCCCTAGACATACTGGCTGCTGCCTGGGAGGAAGAGGGAAGAGGTGGAGGGAGCTGGTCCTGTGGTGGTTCCTGGGGGCAGGAAGTCTGGATACAAGAGGACCCGCCGCCCTGAAAAAGCAGAGGCGACAGGTCGATGGGCTCCCTGCACCCAGAAGAGGGGGATTCCCGGTTGTTGGTGACATTATCCTTCAGCCGACTTGGGCTTCCCTCAGTCGAGAACGGCAAACAGTCCAGGGCCTCTGGCGATGACAGGAAAGAGGGAGGGAAGCCAGAGACATCACTGAGCTCTGGGAGAGGAGGTGAAGGCAGAGTGCTTCAGGCCAGGCTGTGCTGGCCCCACCTCTGCCCTTTGGCTCCAGTCAGATTGCTCTGGGACCCTTCCCACCTCACCCCTGCTCCTCACCTACCTACATAGGAAGAGGAGGAAGAGGACTGTGTCAAGGACAGGGCGGGAAGTAATTGCCAGGGGTCTGCTGGGGTCCTCTCTAAACTCTGAAGCTCAGGGCTGTTTTCAGACACTGGGGGAAGGCAAGGAAGGAGAAGAGAAAACACACAGTGAGCGACTCTGGTCTCCACCCATAGATCCTGGGGCCTCCAGGCCGGTTCATCCTCCCACTTCCCCGTGGGGATCCCTGACCTGCCCTCAGGTTCTGAAGGGTGTCCTCCTCTTCTGCACTAATGTGCAGCCTCAGGCCTGGAACAACGAACACAGCTTCTCCCTGTGGGGGACAGTGAAAGGAGCACGAGACTTGGCTTTGAAACTTGGAAAAGTGACTTTCTACCCAACTCTCTTCTCCTCTATCAATCAGACTGGACTAGAGATGATCTCTGCAGTCCCTTATAGCTCTACATCTTATGACATGAGGCTCCTTTACTGCTGAGCTGCTCACCACCCCCTTCTCCTACTGGGCCAGGGCGCGAGAGTGCACCCCTGCACGTGTGCGCATGCACGCGCGTGCACGCACACACACACACACACACTCACTCACTCACACATTCTCTCTCTCAAACTCCCAACCCTCTCCAGACCTGGGCCCTCCTTCGAGAAGCTCCCCATCGAGTAAGGGGCAGAGAACCCCCCTGGGAACCCCCCAGCTCCAAGCAGCTCTGGGCCTGACAGCTTAGTAAGCTCAGTCTGTCTTCACACATCTCTTCCAGCAACTGGGACAATGTAGAACCTCGATCTGGGGGAGGATGGATCTGAGTGAGGAAGTGAAGACAAATATCTCCCTTCTTCCTTCCGTCCAGCCCTACCCCCACCAGGACTCCCAGGGGTACCTATGTTAGGGGGAGTCCTCTCCCTTTCATGGTGCCTGTAGGGACAGAGCAGAGAGCTGGACCTTAGTGGGCCCTAGGACCCCAGGCCCCCAAAAAAGCTTTCTTGTAGCTTAAGATGACAGAAAGTCACTCCTGGGCCCCAAAGTCTCCCTTACAGCTCTTCCCACCTCCCCACTGCTCCCACCCCATTCTCTTCCAAGCACATACTCACTTTTTACACTCCTGAAGTTTTCTCTGAACAGCTGGGTCCCAGTTACTAAAGTGACAATGAGGACAGTTACTGAGGACTCCCCTTCTCCCCTGGGCAATGAGGGTCAGTGTAGGGAACAGAGAAACTAGGAGGAGAAGGGAAGATTGGGGCCCTGAGGCACAAGATAGGGATGGGACAGAGGCTTGGTTGGGGAAGATGAGGTATAAGGATTATAGACCCACTAAGCCATGAACGGAGGGAAGAGCTCCACCCACCCCAAAAGTATTTTCAAGCAGAGGCCAGACTGAGATGAAAGGATCACAAGTTCCTTGAAAAAAGAGGGAAGGTGTCAATGAAGGAAATCAGTGTAAGGGAGAGAGGAGATGAAAAAACGGTCAGTATAAGGAAGGGGTCCTGCGAGGCACAGGGGACTCTGAAAAGGAAAGGAGGGAACCTCTCACCAGCTTGTCACTCCCTCCCTGGGGAGCTCTGTGGGCAGCAGGATGAATCGATGTACCCATAGGTAGAACTTCCCATTCTGCTGAGCAGGCTGGAGAAGAAAGTCAGGTAGAGCTGAAGCCTTCTGACCACCCCTCCCCCACCAGCTGCCACCAGAGAAGTCCTCCGTCCCCCACTCACCACTGAAGTCTCGGCCGCCTCTTGAACACACACTCTGAAGTCCTGCAGCAGCAGCAGCCGGCCCACCGCCCTCCTAAAACCAAAGTGCTTCTCTTCCCTGCAGGAGTCCCCACATCAGACTGCCCCTTCCCCAATACTCCCTCATACAGCCTCCAGTGACCCCCCCCCCCATACTCCGCCCCTCCAGCCCCACTTGGGAACCTGAGATCCAGCCAGGGCCCCTCACCAGGCAGCCATGCTCAGGGCCTCGGGGGTCACCAGGCAATGCACACTGTGGGTCCCATCGGTCACCAGCAGGATGGCAGCAGCCTCTCCATCAGGCAGCTTTAGGCTCCCTCCAGGCTCAGCTTCCCCAATTACCTGCAGAGATCACGGTGGGTCACCATGGCCCTGCCCCCGAACAGATGGTTCCGCCCATTCCCCTTATCCAATGGGCCTCTTTCTAGGCCGGAACGGCCACGCCCCCAATAGATGATTCCACCCCCTAGCCCCATGACTACATCCCTAGCCCAAAGAGCCTCTTTCCAGAGCAGGGATGGCCACGCCTCAACACGTGATACCACCCCTCGCCCAAAACCACATCCCTTATCCAATGGCTTCTTCTTAATCCTCGAAGGCCACGCCCTCAACACATGACTCCGCCTCCCTTGCCCAATGGCTCTGACCGAGCCACCCAATACTGCTTTCTCTTCTAACATAGCTCGCCCTACTAGCCACGCCCCTCGCCCAATGGCTCCGCCTCTCCCCCAGCTCCTGACCACACCCTTTCCCCTTTAACCCTAGGCTTCACCCTGGGGGCCGCCACGCCCCTCTCTGCACCCTCCTTACTTCCAGCAGCTGCCCGAGCCCCTCTCGCTTCTCCTCCAGTCCGGAGCCCTCTCCAGGCTCCAGCCCGAGGAGCAGATCCCGGATCCAGGGCTGCAGGACAGGCTTCCACGACGTCGCCATGGCCGCCAAATCAGGCCCCCCCCCCCGCCACGCCCGGGGCAGAGGCGACGGATACGCGCTATTTCCCGCCGCCCTGATTGACCCCTGCCTCCGGAAGAGGAAACCGCTAGTCTGGGTGGGGAAGCGCTAATCTCAGACAAAGTCCTGCCTCCGGCCCCGCCCCTGAGGGCTGAGCCTCGGGTGAGCGGTGAGTGCGCATGCGCGGCGTCAGGCGCGTGTCTATAGGAGCTCGCGCAGTCTTGCCTGCTATTGTTTATTACCGTGTAGCTCCGATTTCACTTCTCCATCATCTGTGTATTGGCCCCCTTCTGCCCTTTGACATTGCACCCGCTCTAGTGCAGGCCCTCATCACCCCACACCTGGACTATTGCAGTAACTGCTGGTGGGTCTCTCCCCACTCCAGTCCGTCCTCCGCCCACCGGAGTGCTGGTCTGGTCACGCGACCCCCCACTCAGTAACCTCCAGTGGCTTCCTATGGCGGCCAGGAGCAAATGCAAAGCGCTGTCATTCAAAGCCCTTTCTAACCCACCCCCTCCTACCTTTCCAACCTTCTTCCTCACCTGCACGTTCTCTTCCATCCAGTGACCTGGCCTCCTGACTGCTCATGGTGGGCGTTCTGTCCGGCAATTGACCATGCCCGGAATGTTGTCCTTCCTCGGCCCTGATTCCTGACCTCCCTGGCTTCCCTTAAGTCCCCACTAAAATCCCACCTTCTACAGGAAGCTTTCCCTAGCCCCTCTTAATTCCACTGCTTTTCCTCTGTTAATTATCCATTTTTCCACCATATAGTTTGTATATATTTGTATGCTATCCCCTCCGTCAGATTGTAAGCTCCTTGAGGACAGGAACTGTCTTTTGCCTTTTTCTATTTCCCCAGAGCTTAGCATAGAGCCTGGCACATGGAAGGCAATTAATATGTGTTTACTGACTGATTTCTGTAGTGTTTTTCTAATTTTTTTATTTTAATTTTTCCAATTACATATAAAAATAATTTTTAACTTTTAAAAAAAATTTTGAGTTCCAGATTTTCTCCCTCTCCTCCACCCTCTTTGAGAAGGCAAGCAATTTAATATAGATTACGTGTGTGCAGTCATGTAAAATATATTTCCATATTTGTCATGTTGCAAAACATGCAAAAAAAGTTTAAAAAAGGTATGCTTCATCTGCATTCAGACTTCATCAGTTCTTTCTCTGGAGGTGGACATTATTTTTCATTACAAGTCCTTCAGAATTGTCTTGGTTCACTGTATTGTTGAGAATAGCTAGGTCATTCTGGATTGATCATCATTCAATATTGCTGCTACTGTGTCTGATATTCTCCTGATTCTGCTCACTTCACTTTACATCGGTTCATGTAAGTCTTCCCAGGTTTTTTGGAAACCATCCTGCTTGTCATTTCTTAGAGCACATAGTATTCCATCACAGTCACATGCTATGACTTGTTCATCCATTCCCCAATTAATGGGCATGTCCTCAACTTCCAATTCTTTACCACCGCAAAAAATATATATATATATTTTACCATCCTTTGGAGCCTGTGGCACAGTGGCAAACCTAATTTTGAAGGTGGACTTGATTTTTGGAACTAATCCTAAACCAATACAATTCAATACATTTATTAATGGGAGAGATTGACCATCCCTGGCCTCTGCCCAGGGACTCCAGAGGCCTGATTTGGTCATGGAAGCCTGTCCTGCAGCCCTGGGTCCGGGATCTGCTCCTTGGGCTAGAACCTGGAGAGGGATTGGGGCTGGAGGGGAAGACAGAGGAGCTCAGGCACTCATTTTACCACCGCTAGAAATATTTTTATACAAATATGTCCTTTTCCCTTTTCTTTGATCTCTTTGGGATGGGGCAGCTAGATGGTGAAGTGGATAGAATGCTACGCCTGGAGTCAGTTCATATCTGGTCTCGGACACTTACTAGCTATATGACCCTGGGCAAGTCACTTAACCCTGTTTGCCTCAGTTTCCTCATCTGTAAAATGAGCTAGAGAAGGAAATGGCAAACCACTTCAGTATCTTTGCCAGGAAAACTCCAAATGGGGTCACAAAGAGTCAGATAGGACTGATCAACAACTTTGTGATACAGTTCTGTATTTTTGAGTCACAATGCTTCCCTCTCATCAAACCTGTGCAAATATCATCCTCATTCTATAAATGAGGAAACTGACTTTCACAAAATCACCTGTCTTCTAAGAGTCCTACAGAAGCATTTATTACATACTTACTATGTAGCAAGTGGGTGGCATGTATATGCGCTAGGATCTGGGGGAAACGGAAAAAAAAAAAGCAATATATGTGTATGTGTATATGTGTGTGTGCATGTGTGTATATACACATGTGTATGTGTATTGTACATATGCACTCATATATACACGTGTGTATGTGTGTGTATGTATGTACCCATATATACACACATATGCTCACAGCTAGGATTTGAATGCAGCTCCGGAGTTCTAATCCAAGTCCTTTCTCTCCAAGGAATGAGGAATGCTACCTCCATTTCTGTGTCTAAGGGGGTGATGGTTTCTTGCGTTTTGGTGTACTTTGCTTCCTTTCCCTCCTCATGGAGCAGTAAAGGGCTCCTGGACCTGAGGTATACAAGGTTAAAGGGGTCTGGGAGGATGTAGGACACACTTGGGTTCAGCAAGGGGCTGAGATGACCTGGAGGGAGCAACCCTGCCCACTGAGGCCAGATTCACACTGTGACCCAAGGTGAGTGAGACCTCACATATTTCTTACTTCAGTTTGTAACTTCCCCACTGCCAGGTAGCCACCACTACACAGTAAACTACTAAAGAAATGCTCCTTGCATGAAAGAATTAAATGAGACAATGTATAAAGTGTTTTGAAAAGCTTAAAATACTATATAAATGCCAGCTATTATTATTACAAATCTTATTATTAACCGAGCACCTTAAGTGTGACTGATTTTTGTTTAAAAAAAAAAATTAACAGGGGCAGCTGGGTGGCGCAGTGCATAGAGCTCCAATCTTGGAGTCAGGAGGATCTGAGTTCAAATCCTAACTCAGACACTTGACACTTTCTGGCTGTGTGACCCTGGGCAGGTCACTTAACCCCAATTGCCTCACCAAAAAGCAAAAAAATCCCAAAACTAACAGCACTAGTGAAATCATCACTAGCCTGGGAGTCAGAAGACCTGGGATGAGGTGGTCAATCTCTTTTCTTAATAAATGTATTGAATTGTATTGGTTTAGGATTATTTCCAAAAATCAAGTCCACCTTCAAAATTAGGTTTGCCACTGCTGAGGATAATATGCCACAGGCTCCAAAGGATGGTACAGAGAAGAGTTTTGCAATTTCTCAGTGGCATCTTGTGGGGGTGGGGGAGCAGGAGATCAATGCCCCCTTGCCCTCTTCCCCATGAAGTATACTGGAATGAACCGTTCCTTTGCAGCTAGGTGGCGCCATAGTGCACAGAGTACTGGGCCTGGAGTTAAAGAGTTCAAATGAGGCCTCATACACGTACTTATGAGCAGCTAGGTGATGCAGTGATTACAGCACCAGGCTTTAAGTCAGGAAGACCAGAGTTTAAATCGAGCCTCTGACACTTGCTATCTGTGTGACCCTGGGCAAGTCACTTAACCTTGTTGGTCTCAGTTTCCTCATCTGTAAAACGAACTGGAGAAGGAAATGGCAAACCAGTCCAGTATTTTTGGCGAGAAAACCCCAAATGGGGTCAGGAAGAGTTGGACATGAACTGAAATGACCGAACAACACACTTACTGTGTGACCCTGGGCAAGTCACTAACCTCTCTCTGTCTCAGGTTCCTCATCTATAAAATGGGGATAATAATAGCACCACCTTCCCAGAGTCGTGAGGATCAGATGAGATAATAATTGTAAAGCACCTGGCATACAGTAAGTGCTATATAAATGTTAGCTGATATTATTATTCTTTGGAGTCAGAAGGCTCCAGTTCAAATGCCAGCTCTTCTATTTATGCATCTTGTGCTGTGCAACCCTGGACAATTTCCTCTCTTTGACCATTTCTCCATCTATCAAAAGAAGGAATTTCTCAGAGATTTTCCAGTTCTATATCCTATTTCCCAAATGTTTTGAAAGTGACAGTCCTCCTGTGGATATAGAAACGCTGTTTTTAAAGAACATTTTTTTTTTCTTTGCTAGGCACTGGGGTTAAGTAACTTGCCAAGGGTCACACAGCTAGTGTTATGTGTCTGAGGCTGAATTTGAACTCAGGTCCTCCTGAATCCATGGCCGATGCCCTATCCACTGCACCACCTCACTGCCCCTTAAAGAACATTTTAAAAATCTGTCTCATGACTTAAAGCAGCATTTTCCCAGACTTCTCAGGCCTTTTTTTGTGGGTAATGTCTGATAGAAGTCATAAACATTTGGCTGAGAGACTGCTAGGGAGGTATGGAGTGCCCTGGGAAAATTAAGGAGCAAAATACAGCCTATTTTTATCTCCCTAAATAATAAGCATCTTAATACATGCGTGATTTAATATTTTAGAGGGGAAATACTGCTAGCTTCAGAAATGTATCATGAAGCCCCTATTTATATGAAGCAGTTTCTAGAGAAGTGAGCAGTTAGTCACAGCTAGAAATGACCAGCCCTGGGGATGGAATTGGCATGACACAGAACTATAAGGCATGGTCCCTACCTACCAGGATAACTGAGTTTCACTGTCCTCTCTGCCGGCAACTCTGGCTAAAGAAATTCCCTGCAACCTAACCTGTAGAGGGCTGAAAGACAGCCCTATTTTGAGGAAAAGATTGAGTTAATGGAGAGAGAGAGAGAGAGAGAGAATGCAGCCCCATTTATTAAGATCATAAATACAGAAATACAGAGCTGGAATGGACCCCAGATATTATCTATGCCATTCACCCACCCCATTTTACAGATAAGGAAAGGATCAATGATTTACCTAAGGTAACACAATGTACAGGAAGCAGCTCTGGGGAGCTCTTCTCTTAACCAACTTAGATACCACTTCCTTCATCATGAAGCTTTTTCCCCATCCTTCTGTTGGTAATGACACCCTTCTTGGACCACATAAACAACTTTGTTTTGCACCTCCCTAATTAGGAGGTAATTTTGTTTATTGTAGCTATCTTTGTGCCTTAATGTTAGCTCTTTAAGATTTACCTTCAGCCCTACCCTGTGGGGTAGGTAGTTCAAGTATTGTGCCCATTTCATAGATGTGGAAACTGTCTCAAAGAAAATGACTTGCCCACAGCTAGCAGAATTATCGGGCAGGGTTGAAACCGGGGTCACTTGAGATAAAGTCTGGCACCCATCCATCTGCCCACCCTACTCTGTACTCCCTGGGAGGATGTAAGCGCCCAAAGGGCAGGGGCCACGGTCTTCTCTAAACCGAGTATTTCTCTCAACGCCTACAGTAGGTGTTTAATCAGGTTTTTGGATGAATGAATAGAGGAGACAGCGGGGCTTATCCTAGAGGGGGTCAGGGATGGGGAGGTCTGTCCAGGGTCCCTCGGGTCCCCGTACGTGCCTTCGCTGGGGGGGGGGGGGGGGCGGCTTCCTTGGATGGGGGGTCCGCGCGGCGGGACTCGGGGGGTTATGTCCTGGCCACGGTGTCCTTCCCCGCCCCCCCACCCCGACTCTGCACCGGGGAGGAGGGGAAGCGGCGAGTAATGACAGGGACGCGGGGAACCCTGCGGGGCCTGGGAGGAAGGGGGTGCGGAGCGCACGGGCCCACGCGCGAGCACGTCCGCACGGACTGTGGGCCGTCTGTCCTCCTCCCCCTCCCTCCTCCAGTTACCTAGGGAACGTTGTCTCCTCTTTCCATCCGCGCGGGCGTTCGGAGACCTCCCCCTCCCCCACGCAGATGACGTCATGGTCGGTACCCACACCCCCCCCAGTCTTCGGGGCGAGCGGCTCTCGGACAGCGCGGACCGAGAGGGAGGGGAAAGCGGAGAGGGGGCGGGGCGGGCACTGCTGCAGGGCGCGGGGCGGGGGGAGCCGGGGAGGGGCCGGGCTGTGCACCTGCGCCGCTTCGGCCTCAGCCCCGGCCTGGCCCGGCCCCGGCCCAGCCATGGCCAAGCCTCAGCGGACCCCGGCGCGGAGCCCCGACAGCATCATCGAGGTGAAGAGCAAAGTAAGGGCCCCGGCCCCGTGCCCCTCGCCCCCCGCCCTGCCTGGGTCCTGGCTCCCTTTCTCCATCCCTGAACCTCCTCCCGCGGCTCTGCGCTCCTTGTCCTCCCATCTCCGGCTTTCCCTCCGCCTGGTGCCCCGCCGGGCATCGTGGGCCTGGGTCTGGGGGTGGGTGGGGGGGCTGGCTCTGCTCTCGGCTCCCTGCCTCGCACGCAGAGCCAGCCCTTCGGGGTGGGGGGCCGGGGTGCTGAGAGGTCCTATGCCCGGGCTTCCTGTGGCTGCGGCTGAGTCCTGGAGCTGTCCCCTGCATTCAGCACCCCACCGCCCCCACTCGTTACGCGTCCACCGCCTGCCTAAATCAGCACCTCGCGGCTCGCCTCCTCTCCCGAGCTTACCCATAAGCCCCTGACCCCCACTCCCTCCCCAGAGCTCTCAAGGTCCCCTCCCAGGGGAGGGGATACAGGCTGTTGGGTTGGATGGGTCCATCATTGCGTGTGTGTGTGTGTGTGTGTGTGTGTGTGTGTGTGTGTCTGTGTGTGTGTCTGTGTGTGTGTCTGTGTGTCTGTGTGTCTGTGTGTCTGTGTGTCTGTGTGTTGGGGGCGGGCGGAGGTTCTGCCCATCAAGATGGCTCAGGCCCTGGGTCAAGGACTGGCAGCTGCCTGACTCATCCCCTATCCCTCACTCCTCATGTCCCCCTCCCCTCAGTTCGATGCTGAGTTCCGGCGCTTCGCCCTACCCCGAGCCTCGGTGGGAGGCTTCCAGGAGTTCTCCAGGCTGCTTCGAGCCGTGCACCAGATCCCGGGCCTGGACGTGCTGCTGGGCTACACGGATGTGCACGGGGATCTGCTGCCCCTCACCAACGATGACAACCTGCACCGGGCGCTGGCTAGCACTCACCCGCCCCTCCGCCTGCTCGTGCAAAAGAGGGGTGAGAGGCTTGCGGTGGGGGTCACTACACATAATCTGTCACGGGGTGAGGGTGGGGGGGGGCTTCTGGCTCAGCAGAGACAGGCCTAAGATGGCAGGGAAGAAGACTTTAAGGCTGCACATGGGGCTGATGGAGAAACTAAGGTCAGAGTAGGTTGGGATGACCTGGCAACTAGGTACTCTTCCCCACCCGCACTCGAGCTCATTGGGTTTGAACATGCAGAGTCTTATGCATCATCTGGACCAACTATGTCATTATACAGATAAGGGAAGGGACTTGTCAAAGGTCACATAGGTAATGAGTAGCAGAGCCAGGATTTGAACCTGACTCCAAATCCAGGGCTCTTTATACTGTACCCACCATATCGCTGGGGTCCTATTATCCCCCAGTAGGGTTTTATTGACTGTTTCTGCTGCTGCTCCTGCTTGTGACTCCTGGGTCTTCAAGGCAATTGCTGTGTCTGAGAGAAGAGCTGGGCAAAGCTAGGTGGGCAATATGCTGTGTGAGGGAGGGGAAGAAGAGAGTGTATGGGCCCCAGCTGGCTCTCTCCCCACTATGGGGCTGCCTGGATAACCAGGGAGAAAGGATATCCTCCCTAGGCCTAGAGGAGGGGACTAGAATGGCTCACAGTTAGTTAGAAGCTAACCTGACAGTCAATTAGCTTGAGGCATGAGAATGTCTCCAGCACCCTGGAGGGCTGGGCTGCCTAGTAAACAATACTGAGCTCTTGCTCCATCCCACAGCAGAAGCTGATCCCACAGGCATGGCCTTTACCTCCAACTCCTTGCAACGCCGGAAGAAAGGGCTGCTCCTCCGACCTGCAGCCCCTCACCGGACCCGTCCCCCACTACTCATCAGCCTTCCCCAAGACTTCCGCCAGATTTCCTCTGTCATCGATGTGGACCTGCTGCCCGAGAGTCACCGGCGTGTGAAGCTACACAAACACGGCTCAGATCGCCCACTAGGCTTCTACATCAGAGACGGCGTCAGTGTCCGAGTGGCGCCCCACGGCCTGGAGAAGGTGCCTGGCATCTTCATCTCCCGCCTGGTCCGCGGAGGCCTGGCGGAGAGCACCGGGCTTCTGGCAGTCAGTGATGAAATCCTTGAGGTCAATGGCATTGATGTGGCTGGCAAGTCACTGGACCAGGTGACAGACATGATGGTAGCCAACAGCCACAACCTCATTGTCACCGTCAAGCCTGCCAACCAACGCAACAACGTGGTGCGGGCTGGGGCAGGCCGTCCTCCAGGAGCTCAGCCCACTGCCCCCCTCCCTCCTGCGGAAGTTCCTGAGCCAGACAGCGATGAGGACAGTGACCTGGTCATTGAGAGCCACAGGTTGCCTGGCTACCTCCCTCCTTGCCCTAATGGGGTGCCTCTGGCCCCTTCCCAATGGGACTTGCGCCCCAGTCGCTCACTGCCTGGTTCTCGAGGATCTTTACAGTCGCTGGACAGTCAGGATGGGGCCAGCCCCGCCCGGGGGGGCAGTCTAAGAGAAGACGGCAGTGGCATCACCCTATAGTCTGGGATTTGGCCAGCTGGATGCTGAGGGCTACTGTCCTCCTAGCCTCTGCTTGGACCAATGGACATCAGGGCCCAGGTGGGACATGGGAGAACAGCTCCTGACCTTGGTCCACCAAGGTGCCCCTGCTGTCTCCTTCCTGGAGAGAGTCGTCTTCCCTGCCCTACTCCCTTGGTCCAGGCCTCTCTCTCCCAGCAGGCAGCCAGTTGGGGAGTTGCCTTTTCAGGAGCCGAGGCAGTGCCTTTGTTCACTTGCCCCTCCCCATCTATGAAATATTAAAGCTTTTTTAGAAAACACTGGCCCTTCTCTGCTATTAGGGGAAGCGCTTTGGAGGAGTTTGGATCACTTCTCTGCCAAATCAGGAATGCCCTGAGTGGGCTAGGCCCGAAGGGGCCACAGCTGGCTCAGGGAGAGGAAGGGGAAGGAGTCAGGATGTCTGGTAACCTGCACTGCCCCAAATGTCATACTCTTGCCAGCTCCTCCTTCCGACCCTCAGGCCTTGGACCTTCATGAGGGGCTCACCTAAGGCCTGAGTGCTGAGACTAGGCTGGAAGGCCAGAAAGGGGCCTGTGACTCCCTTAGGCTGTTCTCTGTGAGCATGGGTCCCCGCAGCTGGCAAGGGTCCTGAGCTTTGGTCTAGCTTTGAGGTATGGGAGCTTTGGGTCTAGCAAAAATAGCTGTTCTCCTGTCATTCCCCCCCCCCCAAGATGGCTGATATGCCTGAGCCCCATCTCTATGCCTCCATGATCACTTAGCTTGGCATTTCTAGAGAAGCATGAGAAAGATGGAAGTCAGCTTGGGAAGGCGTAAGGAGACTGGGGTCACTGCTCATGTAAAAAAAAGTTTAATTTTAAAACAGGAAAATATTCTTAACAGCAGCTCCCTGGGCCTGTTCCTTCTGCTGCCCCTGTGGGGAGGATGCAGGGGGTTACCTCGGGCCAGAGCCACAAGTGCCAGTAGCTTCCCTTCCAGGAGCCAGATGGCTCCTGCCCTGGAGGCCTCGAGGCACTGCTCTCCTCAGAAGGAGCGGTCTCCAATGGCCTTCCTGTGGGCCAGAGGGGAAGAGCTCAGGAATCCATCTTGATAAAGACTTTGGATCGGGAGAAGATCTTGAGGGCCTCCTCCACCTGGGAAAGCTTCTTCTCCAGCTCAGCCTTGTGGTTCTGGGCTCGAAGGGAGTCTGCTCTGGAAGGCAGCAGCACCAGCTCTCGAAGCAGTTCTCGTTGGCCTGAGGAAAGAAAGGGCTAGGGGCACAGGGTTCTAGCTCCCTTCCTCGGTAGCTTGGACCCCGAGATTCAATATAACTCAGCAAACATTTCTCAGGCACCAACTGTGTATGACACCATACGTGGATGCTGGTTAGCAAGACTGCAATCAGCAAGGAATCAAACTGGCAAGAACTGAGGATCCTTGGGGGGAAGAAAGATGGCTCCAATCTGTTTCCTCACTCCCTCCCTAGAGCCTTGCCTAGTCCCCCTAATTGGCCTGGACACTCACTCTGGAGAAGGGAGTTCAAGGTATCCAGGCGCTGGCTCTCAGGCATCATGGTATGACCTGGGGGTATTTCAGGGTCAGGCTGGTTCCGCTGGCGCTCCTCAGCTTCTCGGCGCCACAGATCTTTACGTTCTACCAGGCTACCAAAGGGCAGAGTGAGTGGCTGCTGTCCCCAAATGCCCAGACCAGACCCAATCACCTCCCTCAGTTATTCATGAAGGTGGAGCAGAGGACTGTGGCTCTGCCTCCCTAAGTGGACATTGGATCTGCTCTCTGGCCTCCCTCCTGACAGAGGCTGAGGAGATCCCTCTTGGGGCTAGAGGGCACAGGGCACAGAGAAGAGACAAGTGAGGACCTACTAGTGAGGCACCTGGCCCTTCTGCCTGGCATTGTACTCCTCCTGGGCCCGCCGCTGCTGCTCCTGTACCACAGCCAAACACTGGAGGGAGCGTGAATGCCGCCGAGGGGCAACTTTGGCTGTACGGGCATTATGGGTGATGAAGTCCACAGCCGGAGCCTGCCCCTACATGGCAGAGGAGCAGGATGGATGGTAGGATTCTTGGGGCTGCAGCAGGAAGGAGTGGAGGGAGAAGGATGGCCTAGAACACTAGGGAGTCCTTTCTCCCATACAGGGCCATACTGCTATTTCCTTCTTCCCATCCCCAGCATCCCCTGTAGATGTATCACCTTGGTATCAGGGCCTGGCGTCTGGGACCCATCATTACTGGGCAAAGCCAGGCCTGCAGAAGCCACACGACGAGGCTGCACCCCAGGTCCACAGCGGGAATATGCCCGCAGGAATGCCGGCAACTCTGGTCCAGAGGTAGGGCATGGCTCCTAGGAGAAGCAGAGGGACTCAGTCAGGCAGGCTCTGAAGCTAAGCCCCCTGCAGCCTGTGGCCCTCAGCCCAGCCAGCGAGGCCAGGAAGGGTTGGGGGCTTGAGGTACCTGCAGCTTGACTTTCAGCCGGGACTCTACTTTGTCATACTTGGGTGATCGCCACAAGGCCTTGAGAGGCTTCGGGCGGCTGTGATCTCGTCCCCTCTCCTGTTCCTGGCGCTGCTTCTGGATCTCTCGGATACGCCTCACGTTCTCCTTCTCATGGTCTTTCCCTGGGGATCAAGGAGACACTGCCAGGCCTGCTCCAGGGCACAGAGGCCTGAACCCCCAGCAACTTCATAAGTTTCCATAGGCTGGAAGGAAGGCTGGACATCATCTGGTCCAAATCTCTCTCTTTTCATAGAAAAGGAAGGCCCCACCATGTGCCTTGTCCAACATCAAATGGCTGGCAATGGAAAATGCCCGTGTCCTGTGACACCAAATATACTGCCTCTCACTATGCTGGGCCCCTGAGGCCACTAAAGCATGGAGGGACTTGCCCAAGGTTACACAGAGAGTTGACCACAGCCCCTGGTCTCCTAACTTCCTAGTCTAGTGTCTTTTGTGGCTCTAGCCTGGGGGATGGGCCTGTTATTGTCTCCATCCGAGAGCCTGGTCTTCCTGGCTTCCCATCCCATTCCCCAAGACCTGAGGTAAGTGGCAGTGGGTGAAGGGAAACTCCCGTGGTGCCAGCCAACTCAGGCCACTGCTCTTAGCACTTACTTTTGGGCAAGGGCTCCCTGCCCAGTGAGACCTTCTGGAGCTGCAGCAGAACACCCACCAGGCTCTGCTGGGATGCAGGTCGAATTCGAGGAGCAGGCTGCTCCAGGGGGGCACCCTGCCAGGGAGGCTTCAGGCCTAGCTTCATAGAACTTCCTTCAAGGCTCTGGGCTGGAAGCAAGCAGGAGAGGGGAGGTGCTAGAATAATCAGAACTCACAGGTATAGCTTTTTGAGGGCTAGAAAGTACTTTGCTTGCAACCACCTGTGAAACAGGGGCATAAAAATCATGATTTTACATGATCTTACCTACATTATGTTATCCACTTTATTTTTTTATTTGTTTTATTCAATTATATGTAAAAACAATTAAAAATTTGTTTTAATTTTGAGTTCCAAATTCTCTCCCTCTCTCTCCTTTCCCCTCTTTGAGAAGGCAAACAATTTGATGGAGATTATATATATATTTCCATACTAGCCATGTTGCAAAATGTCATACACTTTACAAATAGAGTGAGGCTCAGCTATTTAGCCAACTTCAGCTTCGGGGCCAGAACGGAAGCTCTATCAGTCCAAAGCCACTGACCTTTCCGGCCAGTGACGGGGGTGTTGGGTGATGCCTGCCGCCAGGTGTGCCTAACCCACCGCCCCATTCCATCAAGCAGCCCACCCTGGGGTCCTGCTGCGGCCGCTTACCTGTGCCTGGGCGCTTGTAGTAGTTGGGGAAAAGGGTGGGGTCGGGGGGGATAGGGCCAGAAATCTTTGAGGGTCCTTCGCACATGGCGTGGGCTTCGGCCACTAGAGGAGAACAGGGGTCGGGGCTGGAGCCTGGCTCTAATGCCGGCCCCCCTCCGCAGAAGGTAGGGACCTCCCCCACCATAGGTCCCTCCCTCTCCCCATGCCGCCCCGCCCCCGTAGAAGGTCTGGACCTCTCCTCACCCCACCGACCCCTCCCCCATGCCGCCCCGCCCCCCAGAAGTCGGGACCTCCCCTCCCCTCTGCCTCCCTCCTCCTCCCCCACGCTGCCCCGCCCTCCCTAGCGAGCCCCGGGCCAGCCCTGCACTCAGGCCCCCCCCCCACGCCCCCATCCTCCTTCGGGGTCACAAGCACCCGCCCTCGCACCATCAAGTCCCAGGCTTTTGCGGCGCCAGGGCCCAAACGGGAGTTGGTGTCGCCCAGCAACACCAGCTTCCTGTTTGGGGGAGGGAAATCCCTGGAGAACGGTGCATTCTGGGATTTGTAGTTCAAAGGATTTAGAGAGCTTTTGGCCCACTACCCTTCCACCATCTACAATAATAATAGTTAACAATTACATAGCACCAACCATGGACCATGAGGTCAGGCCGGGTTGGACACGCCTGAAGGACTAAACAAGAACAACAAAAATGGGCCAGGCACGGTGCTAATTATTATCTCATTTGATCTGGACAATGACCTTGCAAGGTATATGCTGTTATTATCATCCCCATTTTACAGATGAGGAAACTGAGGCAAACTGACTTGCTCAAGGTCACCCAGCTACTTAGTGTCTAAGGCTAGATTTGAATTCAGGTTTCCCTAACTCCAGGCCCAACACTCTTATCCACGTAACACTTAGCTGTCCCCTATAGATGGGGAAACAGAGGCCCAGACAGGGGAAGTGGCTTGCCCAAAGTCACACAAGGGTGTCACTATTTGTTGGCTACTTAGTTAGTTCTCAGCACTTTTTTTCTTTTAGGTTTTATCGATTATTGATACCTTTTGCTGGTGGCATTAGGGACACCCCAGGATAGTTACTCCATGTTCAATATATTCCATAGGTCCATAGGTCCATATCCACTTAAAACTGTAGTTTTTGAATCCCCACTAATGCATTTACTTTTTCCCTCATCAGTTCTAGGACCCAATTAGTTCAAAGCAAAGGCATGCTTAATGAAAGGATATAGTAATGTCAACCGGACCGGAACCGGCCCCTAACCTGGATGGAGCTTAACAAACAGAGTAGGCTAGAGACAGGAAAGTCAGGACACAAGATCAAAGTTTAATTAAATTTCAGAGTGAGGAAAATGATGCATGCTACGAAAGCTGCCCCCCCTGCCTCCCCCCCAAGAAGAAGGCTCAACATGCTGGACTAAAGGCAGGTCTTATATATATCCTGGGGTGGACCATGACATAATCATTTTTAGTTATTGAGTTACTGTTCCCACAGGTCCTGTGGGAAGTCACTGTCTCAGGTCTTGGGGTCATGCCCACACTGCAGAGCACAGAACCAGAGTTCTGTGATGGGAACAGGACTGCAGGACCTGTCAGTGACAAAGAACGGGGATTGTGAACATGTGATGGATGGCCGAGTGAAACCTGGTGCAATACACTTTGCCAGAGGGTGGTATCATCCTGAGCACAAACGATTATTGTTTTGCCAAGCTCAGGACACAGCTGCTTGCTGGGCCTTAGTTCTGGAAAACAGGGTATCTCCATAATATTGTGACAGTATGTCCCCCTCTATAGACCTGGAATCCACTGCCCCGAAGATGCACACACTAACAGGTGGCCAGAGTGGGCACATGCAGGGACCACAATTGCACGCAAGAGATACAAACATAGACAATAGGTGTGGCTGGCACACATGGGAGGCTGCGCCAGGGCCACAAACTTGGGGAAGGGACAACTCACACCTCCAGCCAGTCTGGTGACGTCATTTCCTGCCTCCAACTCGTCCAGGGATGTCTTTGTGGTTTGGGTCCTGTGGTAACTACAGATGTGCAGCTGAGGCAGTGTTGCTGGTCCTGTTCTACACATTCTTTCCTGCCACCTCCACCCTGACTGTGGTGGTCATTTCGGCTCCTGTCTGCTGAGGTACGGAGGCTGGAAACTCTAACCCTGGTAAAAGCAGGCTGATGGCTCTTTTTAATTCTTCCTTCTACCCTCATAGAGGGGTAGCACAAATCTGGCAAAGGGCCCCAGGCTAAGAATGGGGTTTGGAAAAGTATGTGTGGCATAGAACAAGGGTTGTAAGGCTGAGCTGGTTAACGACAAGGAAGCCAGAGCAGGGTTGGTGTACTGGGAGCAAGGTAAAGGGTAGAGTGACTACAGATCTCAGTGAGGGGAAAATGTATATATTTAGGAGGAGTAAAGCAGAGGCACAGATGATGAGATAAGGGGAAGAGAAAGAAGTGTATCTCTTATGTGCAGATACCATTCCAAGTGCCTTACAAATATTATCTCATTTGATCCTCACAACTCTGGGAGGTAGGGACTGTTATTATCCCCATTTTACACATGAGAAAGCTGAAGAAGAGGGGAAGTGACTTGCCCATGGTCACATAGCTAGGTGGCACCACAGTGATTAGAGCACTGGGCATAGAGTCAAGAAGACCTGAGTGCAAATCCTACCTCAGACTCTTACTAGCTATGTCTAAGAAAGGATAAGAGATCTAAGAGTAGAATTTCAGAACTCTGGATCAGGAAGGTCCAACAATTGTGAGTACAACAATCAAGGGTATTTGTGGCTTTGGTGGAATGAAAGTGCTGATCGTGGGAGCTGAGGATGAGCCCTTTGTTTAGAAGATTACCACCCTCTGTTCCAGGCAACTATCTCATTTAAAGTTAGACATTCCCAAAATCCTTTCTGGTTCAGCATGAAAATTAGTTTGAACAAGAACAAAAGGTAAGCTTGAGGAAACAACACCATTTTTCTCCACTCACCTATCTGCATTTGGCCTTTATCATGCCAATTAAAAAAAACAAAAGCAAAAACAAAAAAAAAACACAGTGGCAAAACTCCCCTTGTTTTAGTGATATATTTTTGGCCAGCATAAAACCTGTCTCTGTACTGTTAAGAGCTGTTAAGCATCCCCTGAACTTGTCTTTTTGAGTTGCCATATTTTCCAGAGACACTGGATCCAGCACATGCAGGAGGCCCTGAATATGTCAAGGATGAAGTGCTCCCTTGCCCCCCAGCTGACATAATTTGTTGTTTGCACCCCAGACTGGATCCACTGTGTATCCCTGGGAGGCCCCCTCCACCCCACACCCCTTCCTGTTTTCTCCTCTTTTTGTTATGCTGTCATAAATATGCAAACTTCTATATTCTATTACATTTAATAAACTACAATTTGTTAGGCCATTTCCCTAATAAATGGCCACCCATAGTTTTCTAGGCTTTTTTTGTTACCACACAAAAAAATAAGTTCTTCTGAATATTTTGTGTTTTACCAAGTTCCTGGGCTGCCACAGTCAAATCATCTGAACAGTTTAGTGACTTTTCTCACATAATTCCAATTTTTTCCCCAAATATTCAAACCAATTCAAGCTCCTTCAAGAATTTATTGGTGTTCCCCTCTTTCATAGATCCCTCCAATATTTACTGTTTCTTTTGTTATTGTCCAGTTGTGTCTGACTCTCTGTGACCTCATTTGGGGCTTTCATAGCAAAGATGGTGGGGTGGTTTGCCATTTCCTTCTCCAGCTCATTCTACAAATGAGGAGACTTGAGGCTTACAGGGGTAAGTGACTTGCCCAGGGTCACACAGCTAGTGAGTGTCTGAGGCTGGCTTCCTGACTCAGGAAGATGAGTCGTCTGACTCCAGGCCTGGCTGTTTCTAGTCTTTTATAATATTTGTCAATTTAATGAGTTTGGGGGTCCCAGTACCTGTCACTTCAGCCAGGTGGCACAGGGTATGGAGAGCTGGACCTGAGTCAGGAAGAGCTCAGACCAAACCGTGTCACAGACATTTACTCAATGGGTTACTCTGGGCAAGTCTTTTTTTTTTTTTTTTTTACCAGTGGGACTCAGTTTCCTCATCTGCAAAATGAGTGTCTGGCCTAAATGACCTTTAAGAGCCCTGCTAGCCTCAGTAGGCTGTGCTCTTGTTGACGAAGAAGCAGGCAACGACACATGATGATGACTTGACATTTCTGTTTTTTCCCTTCTCGCTCCTCCCTTCTTCTGGCTCCTGCTGAGGCCTCTGTGGCCATCCTTTCCAGCACTGGCTGCACTTTCCCCTACTCCCTTGGTGTTCCCCAAGGCTCACGGGTCGAAGCAAGGAAGTTGGAATGCTCCTTGCTCGTTCCTTCCCCTTGTTTCTGGCTGCCACCATCACTCAGAACTTCCTTTGAGGTTCATCAAATTCTAATCCCGGTAGCTGTTGTCTATGGATCTCCAAATCTTCCTCCCTCAGTGAATCCAGCTCCCGGATCATAATCTTTCCTCCGCAGCTCCTGCTTTTATAGCAGAGGACTTCAACACCCTCCTTACGCACCCCAGCTTCCCCAGGTCATCACTTTACTGGTTTCCCATAACTTACTCCTCCATCCCACCTCCACCTGGGGTCCTACGTGTGATTTTGCCGTCATCCTGAAAAGCACCATTTCCACGTCAGTGAACTTGGAAATTCCCTAATCTTACGGCAGTCTCCTAGATTCCCCCTCTCCCTCTGCTTTCCATTCCCCAACCCGGTTCTTCATCTGGACCGGGGATGGACCCCTCAGTTGTCTCCCAGTCCACCCCCCTGAATTAACCACACTCTCCTTTTTTTCCCATCTTGGCCCCATGGGTGAACCAGCTCAACTCTACACTGTCCTCTTCTCTTCAGTCTCTTGCCTTCTCATCATATCGATGATTGTGCCCTGCCAAGTCTTAGTCTTGGATTACTTCCACCATCTGCTGCCTCTGCTCCACATGCTAATGAACAAGGTGGAGAAAATCATGCAACCATTCTGAAGGGGTCCACTATAAATATATGTTATATCACCTCTACTGGGCCCTCACTGCTGCTAGGCGATCCTTTATACCTCCCTTATCAACTCACTATCCCATGCACCACAGTGGCTCCTCCAAACCTTTTCATCCCTTCTTAAACCTCCCATGGCTCCCTTCTCACCCTCTTTCAGCTGAGAACCTTGAGAACCTCGTATTTTACTGAAAAAATGGAGGCCATTTACTGTAAGTTCCCTCTCCCCCCACCCTCGATTTCTGAATTCACGTTACTCAGATGCACCCTGCCATTATCTCCTCCACCCCGTCTCCCATGATGAGGGGGCACTTCTCCTTGTCCACGCCCACCCCTTGACCTACACAAATGATCCCACACTATCCTGTGTCTTCTCCTCTATCATCCCCATCCTCTCACTTACCTTCAATCTCTCTTTTCCATTGGCTGCTTCCTTGCTGCCTACACATATACCCAAGTCTCTCCCATCATCAAAAACCCCTCTGTTGA